ATGCAACGGTGAACTATTGTCAAAAGCACGCAAAAACAAAACTTAGCGTGACTAAAAACAATGAGATAGCCTATCCACCATGTTGACCAGAAGTCCTAGGAAACCCAGTGAAATGGGAAAAAAAAAAAAACATGGGCGGGTGTTTAGAATTCTTTTTGTTGTGGTGGTCATTGATAATATCTTGGTTTGAAACATTTGATTGTTTCAGTGTGTGTTTTCTCCCCTCCCCTTGACTAAGCTTCTTAGTCATAGTTCATTGAATTTATTTCTTGATGGCAGCTTGTATTCCCATAAGTACTCCATCCCCATCCTTAGCAGCAAGTGTAGAGTTTCAATTCTGATGGTACCAGTAACATTCTGATTGTATATCCATTTCACCCCTCCCCTGAGTGTTGAGCAGTGATTCTGATTGTATATCCATTTCACCCCTCCCCTGAGTGAGCAGTGATTCTGATTGTATATCCATTTCACCCCTCCCCTGAGTGTTGAGCAGTGATTCTGATTGTATATCCATTTCACCCCTCCCCTGAGTGTTGAGCAGTGATTCTGATTGTATATCCATTTCACCCCTCCCCTGAGTGTTGAGCAGTGATTCTGATTGTATATCCATTTCACCCCTCCCCTGAGTGTTGAGCAGTGATTCTGATTGTATATCCATTTCACCCCTCCCCTGAGTGTTGAGCAGTGATTCTGATTGTAAATCCATTTCACCCCCCCCCTGAGTTTGAGCAGTGATTCTGATTGTATATCCATTTCAACCTCCCCTGAGTGTTGAGCAGTGATTCTGATTGTATATCCATTTCACCCCTCCCCTGAGTGTTGAGCAGTGATTCTGATTGTATATCCATTTCACCCCTCCCCTGAGTGTTGAGCAGTGATTCTGATTGTATATCCATTTCACCCCTCCCCTGAGTGTTGAGCAGTGGTCATATTCCCCGGTCAGTCCTCACTGTTTTATTCTCTTCAGACCGTGATGATGTATATAATTGTACGCACTGTTTACTTGCGCCCAAAAGGGCCCTTACAGCATCTAGCTTACCATGCATAAATTTATCACGAAGTAGTACTGAACTAGCCAGTCTATCTGCTTGTTAATTTCCTAACAAACTGGCATTCTATAGAGAAAATATCCAACGGACATTCACTGCCCGGGACCACCTCCATTCTCAGTCAAACTAGATGTTGAATCATATGCCTGGCTCTAGACAAATCACATCACCTTGGAATTGTTGATGGCAGCTTGACTGCAGTAATAACCCCTATTTCAGAAATAGGGTTACAATGTTAAGTCATATTACAGTTTTACAGCTCTAACAATGAGACTATTGGAGAGATAATTCTTCATATTAACAATACACACTATGCGGTTGCAGCCAGTACTAAAGTTGTCATACAAATGTACTGTGCACTGTCTAAAGACTCCATGTCAACCAAAACCCGAACTATCAGGAAAAACAGCTTTCTCAGGGGTGAGAGTGTTAAGTCTACAAAGTGTTTGGCATGTAATGATTGATAACCCTGTACTCAACTGAGAGATAAAAGACAGAGAGAAACACAAAAACACACACACACACACACACACACACACCAACAACAACAACAGCAGCACATTTTTATGTTGTATATTTCCAGAGAATCATGTCTCAGTACTTCCCTCCATTTACCTGGGAAACATCTATGACCTGGGTGGGTTCTCTGTGGGTGTCGTTGAGAGGTCCCAGATCCTGCCTTGTGGAGCTGATGTTGTCGCGGGAGATGTTGTCATCGGCCTGCCTTCAAGTGGGCTTCACAGCAACGGATTCAGCTTAGTTCGTCATGTGGTGGAGCAGCATAAATTCAGATATGATATGCCGTCACCGTTCGACCAGAGGCTGACCTTAGGTGGGTGGAAATATTTTGTTTACAAATACTGTGTTTTCTTTCTGTGCTTGGGAATGAGTTGAGTTAAGAAAATCCACACCGGGTTTATCAGACAAGAATGGATTGTACCACTTAAGCACTTCCACTTTGCATGTGGCTGGCCTAACCTTTATCGTTGTGCCAGACTGTAGTTATTAGAGGCTATGAGCATGCAGATTATCTTACAGACACTGTGGTTGCTATAGCTAGTACCGGAAAGATCAGGCATCATTAGCCCTTTTTTTTTGTTGTTGTTGCTTATGGAGCTTTTGAAGAGGAGATTGGAGCACCCATGGATCTGTATTAGGAGTGCTGTGATGATAATCTTCACTTATACCCAATGAGTAGAATTAAATATAAGTTCCAACACACCTGCATATCTCATAGAAAAGGTCCAAAGATCAGTAACTACAGGGTACTTCTCACGCAATTCTTGCCACGTGCATGAAGCATACCTTTGTGTTTAAGAAATGAAGAGCATATGGTGGTTTGGGTAGGATGCATGCCTTACACATCATTGGAAATTTGTTCAGTTCAAGACAAGGTAACATATTTTTTGTTCCTCAGAGATGAAATAAAGATCCCTGTTCTGGACATTGTTGGCGTCTTTTCCCTGCATTATTGTTTCTATAAGAAAGTAATCTCTTTTAATTGCCTAAATAATTTACTTGTTTCTGTGTTTTTCCTTTTGGTTGTTGATATTGATTTGTTGGCTCTCCTTTAAATAACGGTTGCTAGCTGGAAAGCCGACAGTCACTTAGTCGGAGTTCACTTCCTTGGCTGCAGTGCAAATACGGCGCGGACACGTCACGAATCAAAACAGATAGTGAGGTCGACATGCCTGCTAGAGCTAGACCACACGCTGCAATTGAGCGTCGCAAGACTCTCGTAGACCACGCGCTGCGACTCACATTAGCGACCGCGTTCTTCCGATGCACGACTTTGTGACTGTAGATGTGAGACCTGCGGATCTGTATGTCGTAATGAACGATAAGCTTCCGTCATGTCCGTGATGTGTCACCCTAACCCTAACCCTACCCCAAACCCTAACCCTACCCCACACCCTAACCCTACCCCAAACCATACCCCTAACCCTACCCCAAACCCTACCCCTAACCCAAACCCTACCCCACACCCTAACCCTACCCCAAACCCCACACCCTAACCCTACCCCAAACCCTACCCCACACCCTAACCCTACCCCAAACCCTACCCCTAACCCTAACCCTACCCCACACCCTAACCCTACCCCAAACCATACCCCTAACCCTACCCCAAACCCCACACCCTAACCCTACCACACCCTAACCCTACCCCAAACCCTACCCCTAACCCTACCCCAAACCCTAACCCAAACCCTACCCCAAACCCTACCCCTACCCCAACTCCTAACTGTCAGGGTTCGCCCTGCTATGGGACAGTTCAGGATGATGATGATGAATCTCGTCATCGTACCCTGCGACCCTTAGTGACACTCAGTACGTGCATACACACGTAGAAACGAGCATGAGCGGACTTCTCACGGGTGTGCACATTTTGGACCGGACGCTGAACGCTTGCTTGGGGGACTGGTAGGAGACTGGACGTGGAACGAGAGTGGAGATTTTACTGACCGTTTGTTTTTGACTTGAAGATAGGTACCAGTGTAGTGATTAGCTGTAACGTGTTCTGTTCATAGTTTCATGTTAAGTAGTAGTTGTAACTAGAAGCCAGACCATGCTTTGCTGGTGGCGTTAACACTGTCGACGCACTTAGGCCTACACATTGGCGTATGCCATAACGTCTTTGGCATCGAGATATAGCGGGTTGAGCTGGCACTGTACGGGAGAGTGGTAGCGGCTCAGAGCTTATTTCATGAACGTGTAAAGGCGCCTCTAAGCGATTTTAAAGTTAGACGCGGCCTGGGTTTTGAATAAGGAGCGCTACTCCTCCTGAGGTGTACCACCACTTCGTTTGCATCCTTGGTAATAAAGATTGTGTGTGTGTTGCAACAAGTGTTTGGCTTGAGTGTGTTTGTACGGTGTTTTCCTGTCATTAGCCTATAGCAGAGCCAATGGAATCGAGCCCTAGACAGCAAGGTTTCTGACACTAACCCAAGCCCTAAGCCTAACCCTAGGATGACAGGTAACTATATTGTTTGTTTCGTTCCCTCTTTACCACTCCATATTTGCACAGCAGCCAAGGGAGTGAACGACTAAGCGACCATCGGCTTTCCAGCTAGCGACCGTTATTTAAAGGAGAGCCGATTTGTTTAATCTTTTCTTTTTTTCCCTCCCAGTCTTCTCCAAACTTTTCCCACTCCCCCAGTGAAGTACAGCATGTTCTTATGTTACTCATATCTGCAGAGCCTTAATTCATCTTTGTAATTATTCTTTATCCAGATTTTTGTGCCACAGTAGGGCTGAATATACACAATATTCGACCGTCCTAATTTTCTATATTTTCACCTCTAGGGTGTGTGTGTCTACTCTTTATTTAGTAATTGAGGACAAAATCAGAGCTTTTGAACTGAAATGCTACATAATTCTTAGGCCTACTCTCTGGGATGATAGATGTGCTCAGTATAGAGTGGCAAGCATTGTCGGATATACAGAAACTAATTTGATGAGAAACTCTAAAGACCTACACCCCATTGCTTCATTGTTTAAACTAGAGGTTACTACCTACTTTCTTTAATGTTTAAATTAATGCTTTATTGATAAAATACAATTGCAATGTGAAAAATGAGGGTTTGGAAGGGCTGAAAATAAAACAAGTTTTTGTTGTTCCTTCAAACTAATATCTTCTTCTTCTTTGCGTTCACCAGCTGTAAACTCTGATGGAGAGTTCTGGTTGTTTGTCCACTTCTGAACTGCAGTCCTGTTCCAGAACCTGAATGTTGTGTGTGCATCCATTTGACAGATCTGACACATTTGTGTGCAAACTGTTGGTTCCTTGCCTCTCCGGCAGATGCACTCCGACTTCGAAGGAAGCTCCCAGTTAGTCGACTCTTACGACATGCTTTTGGGTAGGCAGTGGGTCTACTCTTGTTTTCCCTATAATAAATGGGGGCAAACTAATATGATAAGAAACATTTAATACCAACACTTTCTTCTCTGCAGGTCAGGAACTGCTGATCCCAACAGAAATCTACGTGAAGTCAGTGCTGCCTGCCATGCGGGCTGGGAAAGTGAAAAGTTTTGCTCACATCACAGGTGGTGGTCTCACGGAGAACATTCCCAGGGTGCTGCCTCCAGGCTTGGGTGTTCACTTGGATGCCAGCAAGTGGTTCATGCCTCCTGTGTTTGGATGGTTGCAGCACATGGTGAGATAGGGGGTGTGTGGCATCTTTGTAGTGAGTGTGGTTTAAATTTGACTCATGTGAGGTCCAAGTGTTGGTGTGCACATAAAAGAGAGAGAGCGAGATGATTTTATATATATATATATATATATATATATATATATCAGGTCAGGTCTTGGTCATATATGACTGAGCTACTGTATAACAGTAGCCGGTACCACCTGTCTTCTGTTACGCCGAATGTTGGGCGCCATATACTAACCCAACATCCCATATTGTGCCAACGGCTTTGGGTGGAGATGCGCATTGCTGAGGATGCTAGCATTATCCTAGGAAGAGGAAATGCTACCTGAAAACTGTTTGTTATGGCAGGGCAGACCAGGCCTTTTGCCTTGGCTAGCAGCTGGTCTAGGAGGGAAGCTCCGACAGGCGGACAGATAGAGCACTGCTCTTCTGATCCGGCAACTTCTGCAACCTGCCTCGTTCCAAACGTACTGGTTTTACCTTTCCTTTGGAGTAAACAAAGCAGGTCGGGGGAGGGACCATTATGCATGGGCAACATATGGTCTCTACAATACTGCCCAGGCTTTGTGCTATGGTAGTCATACTAGCCATCGCCATGGGCTGTGAGACTCATGGCTCCTCATAGCGCAGTATAACACTAACGTCTGGAAAGACGGAAAGGTGCCAACATGTTGCAAGTGTCAACCAATCAGGGGCATCCTTCCAAGTCAGAGCACATCTGCCTGTAAAGTAAGTAAAGTAAAGGACCCTTTTCCACGCCTTTAGGCGTATAGGGCATATAGGGCTAGACCTATATTTTTAAAGACCAGTCGGCACAAGATGGGTGATGTACATCTGCCTGAGTGGCAAGGAACCAAGAGTCTGAATACAAAGAAGCCACATGTGTACACCCATCACTTAGGTTCTGGAACAAGACTAAAGTCTGGAGGTGGAGGAACACCCTGAGCATTCTGCTAGAGTTTACAATTGGTAAACAAGAAGGGGAGAGAGAGAGAGAAAGAAAGAGAGAGAGAGAGAGAGAGAGAGAGAGAGAGAAGTGAGAAAGATGGGAGCGAGAGGTAGAATTATGCATGAGAGATAGGGAGAGAAAGACATAAATAGAGATGTTATAAAGGGTAGGATAGAGTAACATAGGGATAGGGAGGGAAGGTGAGAAATAAGATTGAAAAAGGGGGGGGGGGGGGAGAAGATGGAATGAGAATGAGAATAAAACATACAAAGCTACCTAATTGTATATTCTGGAAACTCCAAACATTCATTTTCTTACTACAAACTGTGAAATCAGCAGCCATTTTATATTACTTTCAGGGAAAGATTTCAGATCATGAGATGTCGAGAACATTCAACTGTGGTCTCGGAGCAGTTCTCATTGTGGGGCAGGGAGATGTACAAGATGTCTTAACCATTCTCTCAGACAATGGAGGTCGGCCTGGTATTGTAGGCACCGTTGTCAAAGTTCAAGGTATTGTCAATTATCAAAGTTCCCAGTCTTTATGAAATGTTGGTTTGAGACCATTGTCATCATCATCCCTTAACACTGCATGTTCACCGGTTATTGTTGACTGTCTGATCAGCTTCCTCCACCTTTGACGGTCAGATGTGATGGACTTCATGGTTTCATGCCTAAGCTCTGTCCAGTCAGTCAGATTGTGTATCCAGGTCTTTCTTGGTCTGCTTATTCTCCTCTTCCCCTGAACTGAGCTGTGTGTAACCATTGCATTTTCCGCCTTTTCACTGTAGTTAAAAGACATTCATAGTTGCCTGTGTGCTGGGTAATTATGCAGTGAACCTCGTCATTTGTGCTGTAGTCTCTGTATGATATGCTAATTATTTTTCTGAAAGATCGTATTTTCAGTGCTTGTATCTACTTTTCGAGTTCAGCTGTTAAGGTCAATGTTTCACAGCCATATGTAAATGGAATAATAGCTAGTGCTGTGAGCAATCAAATCTTGGTTTTACAGAAATTGTTCTTGGATCTCCATAATATTTGCTGTTTGGCAAGGTCTGATGTTGTCCGGGCATCCCTGGATATGATTTCTGGACTCCAGATCACTTAAAATGGATCCTAAGTATTTGAAATGATTGACTTGTTCTAATTTATGGCCTTTGACTTTGACTACATTGGTGTAGTTATGCCGGCTGGATTATTAGTCATTACTTTAGTCTTCTCCGCATTTATTTCCATGCTGTACTTGGTTGATTTTCCTCAAGCAGGTTTACAAGTTTTGGTAGCTCTTATTCTTCAGATTGAGATATTTGTGAGAAATGCTGGCTTCAATGTTATGTTTGATAAAAATGAACATTAAGTCTGATAGTGTTTGTGCAGTTGTCAAAGTGCAAAATATTTGTTATAAATTCTTTCTTGATTTGAAATTTTTGTTCCATTGCGAAGTTTAACAAAGAATGAAAAACACCCCACAATCTTTAGAATACAATCCTTTTTGCAGTTCTAAATTTATAAATTATTATTAGTTTAAATACAACAATTGTGACTTGCCCCTTTCACCTCAGGAACACTTGAAAAAAATATTTGTGTTATGGCCCCATTATAGTTCCCGCCCAAAAAAAATCCTTAAAATATAACACTTTAATTGAGGTCACTTGAAAATCCATAAAAGAGACTTCGACACCAGCTTGACTTTTAAAAAGCTCAGAGGACCTTGCCTCCCCTTGCCATTGCAATTTTTGTTATGTTTAAAAAGAAAATTTATGTATTAACATCCTGACTTTCTAAACATTGGCGCATGTGCGAAAACAGCTGATGGTATTAACCATGCGTCTCCTAAACAGGTCACTACAGACAAGTCAGAAAAGTGAAATTTTCAGGGACTTGGACCCCGGACCCCGCAGAAGTGTCGGTTTTGTGGCTTGTCTGGACAAGGGGTTAGAAAGTACGGGTTCTGTGGCAGTCTTTGAAAAGTAAGAGCAGTTCACAGTTCTTAGCTTTTTCAGGACCACTGATCCAGGGTTAAAAAAAATATAATTTTAAATGGCAGAAGAGAATGTAAAATTATTATCTGAACTTATTCAGATGATGCAGAGTTGGTGCAGATTGATCATCTGACATCTTCCCTGCATGCAAGCTGGACGAGGCCTAAACTTGTAGAGCACAGGAAAAGGGTTGCAGTTCTAATCTCAGGGTCAGGTAAGGATTGACGACCATTTTTGTTCTTCTCTGTCTTCTTTTTCTTTGTTTTGTCCGTATTCTGCATTGTTCCGCCAGGTGCGGCAGGTTAATAGATGATCAGTTTCTGAGTTAGGGCACACTCGGTTGCCTGGTATGCTGTGATGTTGTGGAGTCTCATGGTATCAGGGACTCCTTTAATCCATCTTCTTGGTTGTCCCAAACCTCTTGGTGTTTCTACCTCCATATGGTACGCTCTCGTTGATGGCATCATTGGATTCATTCTCATTAAATGACCAGACCATCTTCTGAATGTCTCTTTGAAATCACATGAGATCAGGGTCCATATTTAAGTAAATATAGGCTAGTTGAACTCAGTAGACATTTAATGGGATGATTTTGAAATAAGAAGATAAAAGACGCAGAATTTTCATAGTGCTGGCAAACAATGGATGTAGAGGAAGTTAAAAGCTAATACTAAACTTCAAATGTTTGATACATGAGGTGTGCTGCCTGCTGTAGCAAAGCATAAGATATCTTGGTGTTAGTTGGTTGAGAGCCTACGCCCCGTTAGAAAATACAGGACAGAAGAAGTTTTTTTTTAGTGGGCCTCTCATTACCATCATTACTTAAATGTCATAAAATATTGAAATTCCTTATCCTTTTTTTTTCCTAGTAATTGATCGTGTTAATAGCCTTATTATTACCATCAGTCAGCAGATTCTCTAAACAACATCATTCTCATCACTGCACACCTGAAAGTCACTCTTTTTATAGCCAATTTTCTAGCCTTTTTAGCAAAAGCATCGCACCTTCAGTGTCTTGTGTCTGCCTTCATTTCCATAAAATGTACCTTTCATCACTTTCATTGTCTACAGACCACCTTGACATGTAACATGGCCAAAATACCTCAGCTTCTGGGATAGGATGTAACAGCATAGTTTTTATAGAGGCATGTCAAGGTAGACAGGCACAGACAGAGAGATGTAGATGATTAATCAAATTGGTCAAGCCTTTTGCCTCACACTCCCAAGGATCATCACTGGAGCTACAGAGTTTAAGCTTTATGCAACGTTTTCAGCAGGTGGTTAGCTGTTCTGCTGAGAGAGACCGTGCAATTCCTGTTTGGGAGTGCGTGTGGGGGTGGGGGGGGGGGGGTGGGTGGTGGTGCTGAAATCGGCTGGGCTGAAAGGAATGCTGATAGGTGCGGCATTAATTGAAGATGGCCGGCCCATGGATCATGCAGACATTGTCAATACCCTTAGAGAGATAGGATGTTCTGAGGATTTTGGAAGCAATGTATCCACATTACTGCTATGAATACAAGAATTTAGAGTAAAGATCGGCAAAGCCAAGCACGAGAAGCACACGGGTCGCACACAAAATCTTGTCAACCAGCAAAGTACTGGCACTATTAGGGGAATCTGAGCACCTATGGATGTGTCTGAAATGCTGTGAAGATAATCCAACTTGTAACTCATAACTCTTGCATCACATTAACTATAAACAATGCACAAAATCCATTCTCATTATGTATAATTAGTGGCGGTTAGAAAACACAAGAATGACCGCTGCCTTCTTGCCCCGGTTGTTTTGATCTGTATTTCTGTATTGACCTATGCTGTGTATTTGGAGCCTGTATACCAAAGCTTGTATTGTCATCATTACTTCAATAAAGCATCAGCTGTGAAATTCTAGGACTGAAATAATTGAGGCAAATGGAGAAGAAGAAGAAGCAATAACTCAGTGCAGGGAATCCTCTCGACTTTCCATGATATATTCTCCAAGTTTCATGGTGATTCTTTCAGGCACAAATCTGCAAGCCCTCATCGATCACACTCAGGATAAGTCAAAACGCTCTGCGGCAGAAATTGTCCTGGTTATCTCTAATGTTCCAGATGTGCCTGGTTTGACTAGAGCACAGAAAGCAGGCATTAAAACAGTGGTAAGGGTCCATCTCCATGTTTTATGTCATTGTAAACAACTATGTTCCGCAACAATTGTTGGGGCATATACAGATAATGGTAGATAATTAAGTGATTAAAAAAAAACCCACTGTATGCAAAAGAGTGGATTGGGGGGGGGGGGGGGTAGACCCCAAGAGCAATAAGACGGTGTGGAGAGAATCTACATGCAGACCTACAAAGACTTGGAGTCACCAAATGAAAAAAGAGGGCAATCACAGAGATGAATTTAGCCGGGTGATATCTGCCCCAACAGGTTGAAATCCTAAAGCAGAAGAAAAAGAAACAGTTGCAATAAACTACCATATAAAAAAAATAATATCATTAATCTGTTTGTCATAGTCCCCTTGTGAATTCTTGGACCCAGTTTGGTGGGAAAAATGAATGGACCCAATGCTCTTCTCTTCTCCCCCTCTCCCTCTCCCCCCCCCCCCCCCCCCCAATAAGCATAATGTAAGAGGCTACTAATTAGGAGTGTTTCGTTTCCTTTGAAGTGCATCTGTCTGAGAGGTGAGAAACCAGCAGTTTCATTACAAGTAAACCAGATCTGTGAAATGGATATGCATGCAAAGCTCTGTTCTAGAACGAGACCAAAGCCCAGGAGTGGACAAACAACCTGAACTTTCCAGAAGCAATCCCCAGAGATTGTCGACACAACTACAGACCGTACTGGTCCAGCACACTCCAGGAATGTCAGGAAACAATGAATCAGGCTAGAAAGGATGCAGAATCCCAACCTTGACCTGACAACCACACCAAATGGAAAAAGGCTGTAGCGGTGTTCTAGAGAACTAATCTTGAAGAAAAACGGAAAAGCTGGAGAAATAAAACAGCAGCTCTTAACCTTGATAAAGATGGCAAGAAACTCTGGAGATTAGCCAAATCACTCAATGAAGAGAGTTTCTCTCCTAGACAAACAATCACGCTAAGTGATGGTGACAAAATCTTCAGAGGAAAACAAGCTGCAGATTTGTTCGCAAGAACATACAGTGTTGAAAGCAACCTGACCCTTAATGAGGACCATCAGAGAGAAATAAGGAAAGAAATCCAAACAAATAAGAGACAGACAGATACTCCTGCCTCTATGAGGGAGCCATTTACCATGGGTGAACTACAAAATGCCATCTCCAGGCTCAAGTTAAAAAGTCTGCAGGTCCAGATGAAATCAGCAACGAAAATGCTGATCAACCTGAGCTCATCTGCTAAAGTAAAGCTGCTGGAAATTTTCAACATCAGCTGGGAGAAATGTTTAGTGCCTCAAGTATTGAGAGAAGCCATCACAATACCCATTTAAAAAAAAGGAAAAATTAAGACCCAGGCTTCCAGCTATTGCCCAATTAGTCTCACAAGCTGTGTAGGAAAGACATTGGAAAGAATTGTAAATTCAAGACTGAAATGGCACTTAGAATCTGAGCAGATCTTGGTGCCAGAACAGGCTGGATTTAGGGAATAATACAGCATAGAAGACCAAGTCACCTACCTGTCACAAGCTGTAGAGGATGCCTTCCAAGAGAAGAAAAAGGTTCTGGCGGTATCGGTTGACTTCAAACAAGCTTTTGACAAAGTCTGGAAAGATGGTCTCATTGCAAAACTAAAGAGAAATGGAATCCAAGGAAACATGCTAAAATGGATCCAATCCTTCTTACACAGCAGGAGAACTAGAGTCAGTCTTGATGGCCAGCAGAGCAGAAAAGTGTTACTTCGGCAAGGAGTACCACAGGGAGGAGTTATCTCTCCAACTCTCTTTCTTGTTTATATAAATGATCTGGTGAAAGACCTCCCTACAGGAGTAAAAGCTGCCCTGTATGCTTAGAAAACTGGCAGGTACAGGATGGGGAGCGAATGGAAAAACCCTAAAGAAAGTTTATAATGGAGCGATAAGACCCCACTTGGAGTTTGGTGCAACAGCATGGTCAACAGCTGCTAATTCCCATCTACAAACGTTAGACAGAGTGCAAAATCAAGCCCTTAGCCTCATCACAGGATCCATGAAAACTGCACCAATCCTGAAGATGCAGAAAATAACTGCAATGCAGACACTGTCCTATAGAAGAGACACTGAAACTATGATCCAGATGGAGAAGTTTAATAGTATGCAGTCACACCCAATGAATGAAAGGTTAGATGATCTGGCATTAGGGCGTCTCAAACGTAGCAGCTTTGTCCATCGGGGAAACAGATTTAGAAGACAGTATCAAGCTGATCTACCTATTAGAACAACACCGCTGAAACCTACCCTATACCCTGTACCTTGGGAGCAAGTCAGTGATACAATACAGATAATGACTTCAGTCAATGGATTCACAACTGGAGATGAGTCCAATGATCTTCAAAAATGAACAGCTGCTCTTAGCATGATTCATGAAAACTATCCTGAACAGTCGTGGATACATGTTTACACAGATGGATCAGCAACCGGTGCGGTTAAAAATGGGGGTGCTGGAGTCTTTATTACATACCCAGGCAACCACCGCCACACCAAGTGTATACCCACTGGTAAATTCTGTTCCAACTACACAGCAGAGATTGTTGCACTAGAGCAGGCTGCCGAAATGTTACACACCAGTTCTGACTGCCACCAAGTGGTCATATTCACAGATGCTTCAAGCCCTCAAGAGTAGCAAACTCCCTCACCTAAGATCTGAACTTGGCAAGGTGGCTGTCCAAAAGTGTACTGTACTCCAGTGGGTGCCATCTCACTGTGGTATACCAGGAAACGAAACCGCAGATAAACTTGCTAAGAAAGGGGCAGAATGTGACCAGGAAGAGAAAGCAGTAACATACTATGAGAAGAAAAGGGCCATCCAGGCTATTAGAAGTGAACAGAGTCTGGCCAGAGATGACTACCACTTACTTGACCGGCATGGGCAGGTCATTGTCCTACGTCTCAGGACAGGACATAACAAACTTAACCAGCATATGCACAGGCTTCGTCTAAGTACTTCACGCTTGTGGGCTATGTGTGCAGACTACAGAACATGTCCTGCAAGACTTCCCTTGTTCATCTCATTAAGAAGAGAATACTGGCCCAGAGAGTCACCACTGTACACAAAGTTGTATGGGACTAAAAAGGAACTCATAAAAATAGTCAAGTTTATCACAAGAACCTGTCTGTCGGTGTAAATCAGAAAGCGAACACAAGAAGAAGAAGACAAGAATTTCTTTTCTTGGTCTCATATATTCTCTTTACCCTCCCACTTACCCATGAGTCATGATGTTCTCTCCCCCCCCCCCCCCCCCCCCCAATTCCCCAATCTCATGCCACGGCCAAAGAATGCAGATTTCTTTTTGTGAGGTAATTTCTCTCAAGACATCTGTGTTTCTTATCCATCCTAAAAGGCTGAAATCAGGTGTTTTGGGCCTGAGGTGCAGATATTGCAGCCCGGCTGTAAACCACAGCACATGTCAACCAACCTTTTAAGGATGAACATAGAAATGAAGGTGAAAGAGGAAACTCAACAAGAGTCAGTTCACCACATGTTGTGGGTTGGTGCTGTTGATCAGGCAATGGTTAATTTTTGTGTGTTAGTTAACATGTGCAGCTTGAATCATGCTCATGTGTGCTCAGTCTCCTTCAGCATATATCACTGTATGAATGTCAACTATCACACTGTGTGATTGTCAACAAACTGCTCACTCTGGTTGTATACATTTATCACAGTGTATGAATGTCAACTAACTGCCCACACTTGTTGTATACACATCTAGAAATTAAATATTTATCTGCGAATGTTATATATACTGTCAAGATTTGCCCTTAGTTCCTCACAGTGGTCTCTTATTTGCCAGGTAATTGATCACAAAGGTTACAAGTCAAGAGCAGAATTTGATGCAGCAGTTCATGAAGCTCTGGTGCAGCATGGGATAGAGTTAGTTTGCCTGGCTGGATTCATGAGAATTCTCACAGGTGTGTTCTTTGGTATGTTTTCTTTGTTGTAAACTTGGTTGCTGGGTTGAGGAATTCTCAGGAAAATGTCAGTTTTAACTCAGAGTCTGGAAAGTCCTGGCTGTTTATCAACATCAAGACTTTGATCTTGTTTTTCATCCGAAGATATAATTGCATTGTGCCCGTTTATAGCATGGCTGCTATATTTTTGCCTTTCGGCCAATACAGCCGAGTCTGCAGACTTCTGTTGAACGGGTTAGCCTTCCCAGTGATCTTGGTATATAAACATAACATGCTTTATTGATAACACACAGTTTTGTGTGAAAGATGAGTGTTTGAAAGGGCCAAATGTGAGACGGACCTGCACGCCAAATTTATGACCCATTGAAAATTCTCACAATGCAGGCTCCTGTTTTTTTTTCTTCTATAAAAGTCACCGGGACAAAAGGGTATCATTTATGTGTGGTATCTATGTTGTTTGTAGTTATTAAATTATATATTTTAGACAGAAATAATGAGCACATTGCTAGATTTAAGCACACAAGTTTGCTGCTATGTAATAAGAGTTAAATGTCAACTAATTTAACCTATTTAGCTAATTTTTTTAGAAGCTCGCTAGAGAGAAATGTTTCTCTTTAAAAAGGAATTTTAAATTCCAGGTCTTCTTAGCCTAAAATGGATACCAGGTAATATTGTAGAAAGTAAAGGCAGGATGTTGACCACATCAGCCATCTAGTGCAGATTGGTCTATTAAAATATGGTTCTAGCATCATATTCCTGATGTGTCACTGGCATGTAAAGGCTCCTTTACTTCTTCTTCATTTCCTCTTTTACCCCTAGGTGTCGAGGAAGATATAAGGTGTCCGCATCTTGCTCTTCTGGCTGTCTCGACCATTGACAGACATGTCTTGCTTTTGTTTTTTAGAGTTTCTCTGATATTATCTCTCCATTTTTTTTCTCTGCCTGCCTCATGCTGCGCTTTCTTCTCCTCTTTTAGTGTATGCCTTGTTTGGTATGGCATCACAAGGCGTGCGTTCTCCCTAAGTGGACAAACCATTTGATTTACTTACTTATTACTTATTTGCAATATGCTGCTGTATTGAAAGAACCTGAGCCAGATAGGATAAAACCCCAGTGCAGGATGTAGCTTCTCTTACCTTTAATCATCATTTTAATCACCTGTATATTTATTTGTTATTTCAGGAGAATTTGTCAATAAGTGGACCGGTCGAATGCTGAACATTCATCCATCCCTGCTTCCGTCTTTCAAGGGAGCCCATGCCCAGCAACTGGCAATAGAAGCTCGAGTACGAATCTCTGGCTGCACGGTTCACTTTGTTGCTGTAAGTTATTTTCTGTATTGGTACATTGATGCAACTTTCATGTGCCTTTGAGCTCTTAGTGGAGTAAGTGCTCTCAACAAACTTAGGTCAGGATCTGTCTAGTCTGAAATAGAATAGAACACACTGAATGATCACTTTTCCTCTTCCTTCTTTCACATTACCAGAATGTTGGTGGGAGGTGTAAAGATCATCTGTATGCACTTCCTGATGTGTTGTATCTGTTCATTTCTGTGTCTTTAAGGTTATTTTTGATGCCACCATTCTGTCTTCTGCGTGGTTTTTCCCCATGCTCTCTGTTCATTTTTATTTCCAAAGCGTGGCTGTCTGTGGCAGTTGACATTCTCATTGATGGTCAAACCTTACATTTTTTTAGTGAATCATCTGACTGGTTTCTGTTTTAGTCGTCTTCTAATTTCCTTATTTAAAAAAAAAAAATTTACTACTTGTAACCCCAGCAATTTATCTGAGGACAGCACATTTCTGTTGAATCAGCCTCTTCCAGTTTAGATATTTCAAAAAAAAAAAAAAAAAAAGCATCAACAAAGAGAACGACATGGCATAATGGTTAGTATGCTTGCCTGACAAGTCAGTGAGTCTGCAGTTTTCAAATTTTTCTGAGTATTGTCCGGGGAAGGGTTGGGACACCTCATGAGGGGAAACAGACCAAGACAATGATGGAGAGATAAAATATAGGCAGACCTACAAACACTTATTGTCACCAACTGGAAGGCCGGTCACAGAGATGAATGCAAGCGGGGGGTGATATTTGTAGCAATGTACCTCAAGGGCTTGAAGCGCTGAAGAAGAAGAAGATGAGGAGAAACAGATGAAGAATCACCAAACAGGCAATAAAATGGGAAATCAATGGGCTGAAGAAACAAGGATTTCCAAGAGAAGCCTGATGAAGTTGTTGAGAGAGGCCAGAGGTGCTGAAGTGGATTCCATCCATGATATCAGAAGGATTGCACAGAATAGAATGGAATGAAGAACTAGACTGTGAGGTGTATGTGACGTATACCTGCACAACAGAATGATGATGACGACTTCACACCCCAGTGGAGTTATATGGCTGTTTTGGACTACCTTTACCCTCAAAATAGAATATCTATGGCTACGGAGACTCAGGGAAACATACAGTTGGTTCCTTCTTGGAGCTTTGGAGTTCAATTGATGTGTTAAGATTCTCTGTGGGGATGGTGGGCAAAACTGTTTGCTGTGTGTTCTAAAGGTTATGGGTTCAGTTTGGAACACCCACACGCACACTTGACTGCAGGTTAATTTGTAACCGTTTTGTGGTGCCCCTATATAACTGTGCTGTTTGGCTATGTGGTTGAACAGGTTTTCCAGGATTTGTACCTATTTGATTCTCATCATTAAGATGTTAATCTTACAGAGTGCAGTTCTCAAGGGCAAAAACTATTTATAAAAAAAAAAATAACACACACACACACACAAAGAAAAAAGTGGGTGTGTTTTGAAGATACTGGAGTTTCATTCTTTGTGCAGTGTTTTTTGTGAGCAAAAACTAACTCTCAGGTGAGAAATCAAGTCACTCGGGTAGAAACCTGGCGCAGTTAATTTTTAGGAAAACCTGATAAGAATGTAACCAGAATGCCCTTGCACTGGAAGACGAAGAATTAAGACAGACCAAACAATACATGGTGAAGGGTGTTAAGGAATATGAAAGCCATATGGCTAGCTGCACGCAGTGACAGAAGATGGGTGACTTGGCAAGAATTAGATGAAGGCCTATGCCACAGTAGGGGTTGACCCTTTTGTGCCATGAGAATGTTGAAGAAACAAAAAATGAGCCATGAACCTGTTGGAATTTCTTTTTGGGGGGAAAAAAAACAAAACAATTTTAACACTGGTAACTAATAAATTTTTAAAATATTTATCTGCATTAAAAAAAAAATAATTCCTTAAAATATATAAAGAGATTAATCAGTAAACAGTGCAGAGTGAAGCATTAAATGCAATGCTTACCCTGACCAAAAACTATGAATCGGGTGACTCATATCCTCTCTGTGACCTAAAAGCTACATTTAGTTAATATATCCACATTGGGCTTTTAAACACTATGCAATCACACACAGAATGCATGGCATTTTACATACTCTTTTCGAGAACAGGTCACTGCATAAAATGGGCGTTTATCAGCAGTTACAAGACTATCACAACTAGAAGTGACTAGATTTAACTTTTTCAGGGCAGAAGGATTAGAGGGCAGAAGAAGAAGAAGAATGAATTGCTCATGTTATCTCTAAACACCATTTTAAATTGTTTCTCGCAGGAGGAAGTGGATGCCGGTGCTATTATTGTACAGGAGAGTGTGCCAGTGTATCCAGGGGACACGAGAGACATGCTGGCTGAACGGATCAAGACTGCTGAACATGTGGCCTTCCCTGCTGCCCTAGAGATGGTGGCTAGTGAGCGAGTCCAGCTAGGACCTGATGGGAAACTGGTGTGGAACTGGTAGATGGTGTTTGTTGACTGAGTTATTTGCCCAATGTTGATGATGTGGTTTTGTTTAATGTTAAACAAATGTTGGATATTGTTGTCAGTGTTTTTTTGTTTTTGACCAAGGAAACAGAATAATTTTGATGGCTTGTGAGAAAGGTGTGTGGTTATTGGGTTCTTATATTTGTATTTTATAACTGAAATATTAAACTGATTTTGTTGTCTTTATTATGATTTTAGTTAGGTGGGTCCCAGGTACAGTCCTAGTAAGTAATGGGGGCTGGCTTGATGCTGACCACATCGCCCACCAAGTTTCCGTGTGGTCTACAGAATATAGGTCAAGCCCTATATACCCAATATGCGTGAAGGCGTGGAAAAGGGTCCTTTACTTTTTAAAATGATTTTAGAAAAAGATTTTGGTTGGTTCACATCTGCATAGAGACAGGTTTTTTTTTTCCAGTCAAAATTTACCCTTGGGGCACAGGCCAACCCTGCCTAAAATTGGAAGTAAAGGAGGCTGGCATGAAGTTAACCGCATCACTCATTGAGTGTTATTTGGTCTGTACAAATGTAGTCTTGCAGGCTTGGTAGCCCCAACATGGGGAAAGGGTACTTTTCCTGATTCGATGTCTGTTGGTCTTTCTGACTGGGATACAATATAGTTGAAGAAGTCAGTCCACACGTTAACTCTTTGGGTACCAAGGAATGCATCAGGCATTGTTTTAGAACTATTTTGACTGTCCTCTGGCACTGAAAGCGTTAAAAAAACTGGAAAGAGACAGTGAACCTACATGAAGACACAGCTTGAACCTCTTCATCTTTCTTCTTCTTGGCATGCTGGGTGACATCAGGATTCTTTGGCCTTTAAGGATTATCTGAGATACTTGAAACGTCTGAGCAAACAGAACCATCTGGACAGGCATAATCATAAAGGAGATGGCTAACCACAATACTCACATAACAGATGTGAGCTCTGAGCTTCAGCTTTCTGTATACATATCTGTGCCCTGTTGTGTTCTTCTTCAGCATTACAAGCCCTTGATGTCCATTGCTGCAGATATCCCCCACCTCCATTCATCTCTTTGATTGGCCTTCTCTTTTCAGTTGATGACTTCAGAGTGTTTGTAGGTTTGCATGTATATTATCTGTCCACAGTCTTCTTGGTCTGCCTCATTCCCATTCAACTCTTTTGTATCCACAGTTTTTATCTCTTTGTTATCAGCCAATTCTCTCTTTATGCATCAGCCCCCGCAGTCTATTAGCCCTCATGATTCCAGTAATTAATGGTGATTTAAACAGATTTTGAATTTCATTGTTGCCCTTTTATCTGCAGTTGCAAGTATTTATTTTTATCTGTATTCTTAGTCAACCATTATGTTCATCTTCAACAACTCCCACTTTTGCTGTTAAGTGTCTTCCAGGGGAACATTTTATGATCAGGCGCTTCATTGGAAACACTGGTCATTTCATCTGTTTCTCCTCCTTCTTTCATTAGCTTGAAATAAATTATCTATGTCTGCAGTGTTGTCTTTAGTATGAACTCCACTGTCATCTGGTAATTCAGGCAGGGACCCGTAAAGTTTGGCTTACACCGATGTTTCACTTGGCCAAAAGTTTTGCCTTGGTGTGTTATATTGGGACAGTCTTAGAGGACGTGATTTGTTGTCTCAGGTGCTAATCCACATGTACACATTGGTGATTCTTAAATTGTTTGTACATGTGGCTGTGAAGTCACTGGTTATTTTTATTCCACATTGTACATCATCATCAATTTCCAATTTTGCCATTTTGCATGCTGGGGAGTAATAGCTTGTGACCCATTGCTTGATGTTTAGTGTAGCAATGACTTGTTATTCCATGTCAGTGTGGAAGCTTTTTAATGTTATCAATCCATGCTTTCCTAGAATGGCCTCCCTTTCACATCAGATCTGTCCATGTGAAGTGCTGGTATTGGTAGTTGTGGCTGTAATGGTATTGTTCCCACAGACTGTCTGATTGTATGATTTCTAACTTTTCTCAGATGGTTAAGTTGACGGCTTTTCCTCAAACATCTAATGTCACAGGTGTAAATTTTCCGTAGGTTAGCTTTTGATAATATCCGACAATGTACACGTCTGGCACTGGTAGCACAATGTTAGTATGAATATGCTATTTAAAATTTGTTTCTTGGAAGTCAAAATTTTGTTTGAATGTATTGATAATGTGGGTGTACAATTCTTTAGTGTCATACATCCATCTTCTCCTTGGCATCCTCTTGCTCCCACACTATATTTTGAGGTTTAGAGTCTTTACACCATTCTATTTGAATGTTGTTAAGCAAATATCTGTTTATACTGAATTGATAATAATGAAAGTCTCTATACACAGAATGCATGGTAAATGATTATTTATGTACACCGTGTTTCATGTTAATTAAATATGTATGGACATGAATTCATAAAATGTGGAGTGAAGGTTCAGTGAATTTATGGCAATAGAATATTCATGCACAATATACCTCTGGAATGAATTTTAATAATGATTGTTTCATGTACACTGAATTCATAATAAAAAAAATGTTTATATACATTGAATTTATGCGATTGAATATTCAAGTTCTCACTGTGCTGGGGATTTGGGGGGGGGGGGGATAGATAGATAGATAGATAGATAGATAGATAGATAGATAGATAGATAGATAGACAGACAGACAGACAGACAGACAGACAGACAGACAGACAGACAGACAGACAGACAGACAGACAGACAGACAGACAGACAGACAGACAGACAGACAGACAGACAGACAGACAGACAGACAGACAGACAGACAGACAGACAGACAGACAGACAGACAGACCAACTGCTCCCCTACTAACAAGCATCATATAAAATTTGATTAAGTCTGCCTGAGACACAAGGAACCAACAGTCTGATACATACAAATCAGATTTGTAAAACAAATGGGCATGCAAATCTCAAGTTCCAGAACAAGATGGAAGCCCAGAGGTGGATGAACAACCAGCTACATCATGTAGCCTGTGAAACCAACCGGGAATGTTAACCTGGTGAATAACTGCTCAATGAAGTCGAATCTTTTGGCAGAAAGGGACAGATAAACCAGCTATGCTGTGATTAATGATTAGTAAGGATTATCATCACAGCACTTCGGACAGATCCATAGGTGCTCCGATCTCCTCAGTAGCTTGTGTCCAGTACTGGACCAGTCATAGCAACCGCAGTGTCAGCAAGATGATCTGCCAGCTATGCTGTAAACAAGTATAATGCAAATTATGTTACTCAGACAAACGAAAAGAATCTCCAGAAGTAGCTGTATTTTTTCCCCCCATCCAGTTTTACTCTGATAATTCTAGAGATTATCAAGATGGAAAGGCATTGAGGAAGAGAATTGGCCAGTCTTCTTCAGTTGTGATCAAAATAGAACATTTGATGGCCTGCAGACATCTAGGGGTCAGCAGAGCAGTTTTAAGGGACTCCATGATGTCATTTTTACACACTCGCATGCGCGTGCGCTTTCACAAACACAAAATTATTGACTTTATGATGCAGTACTTTTTGCAATTCTTATGTCCAACTATTATAAGTTCTTCAGTTTGACTGTTGTAAAGTATGGGGTCTGTGACAGACCTTTAAAAATAAATGGATCTCCATAGGTCCTACTTAGAAAACTGGCTACCACTGGACTAGAATATGGAAGGCATGTAAACATGAAAACTACTACTGTCACGTCCTACACATAAGTGCTTAATTTCACATTTGTATGTTGAGCTTTCCAGTCGTCACGGGCTGTGCCCTCCGGAGATCAGCAAGGAGCATCCTGCACTTCCAGGACTTTCGATAGCCACACAAATAGGTACATTTTTCTTTGGTATGTTAGACCCCTTAACATTATCTCATCTGGAAACTTAGCGAGACAATACAGCAAAAGTTCCGGCCAAAATGGAGAAAAGGCTTGGCAGAATGTTCAGCTTCGATGTTTATTTCTGCTTCCCACAGCGCTTTGCTATTGCAGTTTCCATATAAGGACGGTAGTCTACGGTTTCGCTGCCTGAGCTACTGAGTTTAGTGCATGGTTGCAACACTATGAGCTGTGTTTTTCCTATGGAATGTTTTTCATTTGCGCACCTATTGTGTTGTTTTGTTCAATATGGCTGATGGCTGGTTTACATGGGAGCTGATGAAACACTTTGGTAAGAATTCTACGTATGTGTACAGTAACCAGCTTTTACGTGCCCTGACAACTTCCATCAACGACAAACTGCATTTCCAGTGGCGATTGTTGGTTGTGCCATCTCGAGCAACTGAAATATGCATTCACTGCGTGCACATATCTCTGGATTGTTCCGGAACTAGTTGTTTATTCACCAGTTTTTCATATGCAACAGTGAGGGACATTTCATTTGATTCGCACTGGCACAGGAACGGAGCAAGTATGGGGAAACCCGACTGCGGTGAAGTTGAAACCTTGACTGACTAACTAACTAATGGCAAAAGTATGCATCCGGCATGGCTCCCCCTTTTATGCCCCACGCTCTGGAGAGTGGTAACAGGCAGGTGAACCTTTCTGCTAATTAGCAGGATTTTTTTTTTCGGTTGGTCAGTCGGGACATGCATCAGACAGACATTTATGTCAGACCAGTATGCTGACAGTGGCAGATTATCGTGAAGCAGCAAGGCATGTACGCAAGGTATGATCCGCCCACAAGAGATGTTGAACGATTGGTGCAAGCATATCTATTGTTATAGGACTGTAAGTAGTTCTTCCACGTCATCTTTAGACTATAAATGTATAGCTACAGAAGGGCGTGGTTGTTCCCACTCTACAGACAATCGAAGTTGTCATTTAGTAATCTTCTTGGCTAGCGGCCATTACCCATGTTCCAATTATGCTGTCATAGACGTTTTCACCCACATATTGGGGTCAGGCGGATGTGAGCCAGACTGGACACCACAACTCTAGAGGCCTGCCAACTCCGAGATCTCCTGCCAACTCGGTTCAGGTCACAAAGATGAGCCCTT